TTTTTTTTTTTTTTTTTTTTTTTATATTCGTGTGTCCAGTGTCACGGTCATGCTCGTCCAGGGCGTGTTGCCTATGGCCGCATACCCATGTCACGCCGAACCCTTTACTTAATTTTATGTTGTATTGTCTTACTATTGTATTTCCTATTTGTACGACTACTCGGTGAAATTATATTTAGACCTGCCAGACCTGAATCACCTCAAAATATACTATAGGGGAGTGTGACTAGTGTCAACTTCACCCCCTGATTTTGTATGACTGTTCGGAGAAATCATGTCTAAGCCTGTCAAATGTGAATCGCCTCAAAATGTACTATAGGAGGATGTGACTAGGTATCAAATTCTCCCTACCAGGAAAGCTACATGTTGTTTAAGCCGTTGTGTTGCCTTTTGCTTATAGTTATATAACATTGCTTTTAAAATCGTCTCTCATTCTTACTTACTCACTTTAAAAAATATCTCTGCCCCGTTTTCTAAAACCTTCTTCTCAAACGAGGCCAAAGGCTTGAGCATGCCCGGCCATAGGCAACTCTAATACAAATTGGTTTGACTCACTTGATGTTGAGAGTGACTGCCGCACAATCGCAAAGTCCATGGCCAAGAAAAGTGCAATTGTGACAAGAAAAGTGCAATTGTGACATCCAGCACAGCTCAACTATTCTCACTTTGTAACTCTCCTACCCTACTACATTTTGTTGAAAAGAAAACTAGTACGATACTAAATGTTCCCAAAGTCATTCATTACTTCTAAATCTTTATCATTTACATATGTAGAAGCATACTTAATGATTAGAAAACTACATGGAATTACAGTAGCTTCTCAAAGATAAACGTTGCATCAAAGATTTCCATAACATCAATTCCGAAAAACGATTCGCGGAAACAGAATTGCATCTAAACAGGTCAAATTGAGCACCATTCCCTTCTAATTTGCGAAAAACTACTTCAAATGAATAGCGAATTAAGTGATGGTACCTTCTAATAGTGCAGCTAAAGAGATCGTAAGTGGTAAGGCATCACTCATTTCCTCGTGAAGTTCAAATTCCTCCATAAGCTTTTGAAGAAAAGGTTGAAAAAACACACAGCTAGCTAAAGCCTGACGAAATTTCAACATTCAGATGAATATGAGTACAATTCATAGATAAAACTCGTAGAAAAAGAAAATCCATGAGCCGAAAGTAATAATACCTGTAAAATCACATTGAAAAAGCAATTGTTCCCGAGATTTTGCAATCCAGGAAGTAGGCGAAGATTCTGGGACGAACTTGCTCCCGCCGTCCAGGATAAAAGGCCTAAATTGTTGAGTTTACCATCTCTAATGACCGAAAACAGAGCGGCGGCGCTGAGAAGTCCAGCAACAAGCACGTAAAACCCCGCTGGTTGTAATCGCCGGAGGAAGTTCTTCATAGATGCTTCTTTTACCCGCTTCATTTGGTAAGACGGCGACCGAAGGAGAACTGTCGACTTCGTGCCCACATCGTCGGCTTTTAAAGAAGAAAAAATTTAAATTAGAAAATCATTTCAATTTTTAATGAGATATCAAAACCTGTGAAGATGGAAAGTTCAAATAATTGAAGATTATATTTACTAGAAAGATCTTCTGCCTTGTAACAATGGAGATAGTATTCCTTTGTTATAAACCCATGATCATTCCTTAAATTAACCGATGTGGGACTTTCATCCAACAATGTTGTCAATATATCAGCTTACTTGATCAATAGAGGGTTGTTGGTACCTTTAGAGTTCAAGACGATAGAAGAGGTATGGATAGAAAAAGAATTCAAATACTATCACTTGAGAACTTTTGGTTGCACTACATATGTTCATATTGATCTAAAGAAGAGAGACGAACTTGATTCATAGGCTATGGTTCTAACATGCTTACGTACAGGTTTTTGGATGGCAAAGAAATCCCGAGGTATTGTGACGTGACATTTAAAGAGAATGTCATGTACCATATAAGTTCTCTTTCGTTACATTATTTGCTGTTGACAGATAATGGAGTGAAAATAGATAGGGAGATTTCGAGTTTTAAATCGGCGACCTTGTTTTTTTTTTTTTTTTTTTCATTGTGTTTTGGTTGGAATCTCGATTTCGATAGGAAGTCTTGATTTCATCGTAGTTGTTTCTATGTAAGTAGACTCCGTCTAAATCTATAAAAGAATTTGGACTCACTAGTCAACCGAGGCATGTGGGCTGTTGTCGAAAAGGTCGAAAGGGTTAGAGAGATAGAAATCACAATAGGATTTTTGCAAAGCGCGCGAGGAAGGAGTTCTCAGGTCAAAGTCGAGTTGGATTTTGTTTTCGGGTTGTACATCACCCATAGAGATTTTGCAGCATCCCAACCCACCTACACGACCCATTACAAGGCCACAACCCCAACCCGTGCGCACGACCCGAATCCACGCTATTCCCATCCACGCATGTGCTCCCTGTGCGTGGCTCTGACGCAATATAGGGTATTTGGTACCGTCTCCTACATTCAGTCCTTGTTGGAGGCATTTAACACCCGTATAAACTCCAACTGCTCAATTGAAACTATTTTGAGCTAGAATTCGAAAATTGTTTGAGAATTAACTAAGTTAAGCTCGTTAGAATATTTCTAATACGATTTCATCTGTCTACCTAGGTTGAAACAAACCTTGGGGGACGAAATTGAGCTATCTTTAGAATAATTTGGGACTCCGACCAAGGCCAAATGACTTTATTGTTAGATGGTTGGAAGAATTACATGATGTATGATGACGCATGTCCTGTTGCTCTTATATGCGTCATAATGTTATGCTTATGCTTATGTATGCTATGTGATGATGTATGATGTCATGTTAGTATGTGATGTCCTATTATTATGCGATCATATGAAATGTTATGTATGTAATGTTATGTCTTGCCATGTGAAGCCATGTTATAGATTATATGATGATGCAAGATGAATCCATGATGATAACTATGAATACATGACTCACGTGTGTAGTATGACATGGATGAAAGGAAGAACAAATTATTCTTATTATATGTAGCAATCGAAAGGATATGTAATTTCAAGCAAGGAGCACCGAGACAGTGGTACAAGAAGTTTCGCTCCTTAATGAGCAGGTGTTAAAATGAGAAATAGAATTGGGATTGAACGTATGTTTCATGGATATTCAGATCCTTTAAATAGGATAGAAGTTAACAACTAATACCTACCCATAAGAAAAAATATATAACTAACTAAATCTTGGGAATAAAATAAAATATACTATAAATCAAATCATACATTTATGTATATTAAGATATAATATCTAACATATATTCCATAAATAATATATTCTCCAAATATTATATCTCAACACTCCCCTCAAGTTGGGGAGTGTATGTTAATCATATCCAACTTGTCTTTACGAGTGTAGGTCAATGACACCCATGTTGTCTTTACGAGTGTAGGTCAATGACACTCAAGTTGTCTTTGAGAAGCGAGTGTAGGTCAATAACACTTTTGTCTTCCCCAGTAGTGAAAATAGAGAGTGTAGGTCAATAACACTCAACTTGTCTTTGAGAAAAGAGTGTAGGTCAATAACACTTGTCTTCCTAGTAGTGAAAATATCCGTCAAGTTAACTCTAAACAAGTATTTGCTGATGATCCGAACACTTTGGTTTACTTTTTAGACTTTCAAGAAATTATTGAATTTTCGAGAAAGATGCAAAACCAAAAAATAGATTGTCTTTGATTGTTTTGCATTTTTAGACTTCTCAAGAAATTATTAAATTTCCCAAAAAGATGCAAAACTCAGAAATAGACCGCCTTTGATGTATCTCAGATCTTGAAGAGCTGCTTCTTGATTTATGCATTTATGCATAAATGATTTACTCCAAGATTGGTAATTTGTTTCATTTAATTTGATTGGAACAAGTGAATATCCTGACTGATCAGAGTGATGAATATAATAAGAACGTGTTAAATAAACATTCGAAGTTTTGAAGTTGGATAATAACACCAAGATCGGTGCTGTGGATCACTTGAGAGGTTGTGAAAGAATATACGAACATCTTGAATATGCCACCTTTGAGCTTGGTGAGAAATTTGAAGATGCTTATAATGTATTCTTGATATTGGATGATCGAGAAGAGTTTGCCAACCACAATTCTTGATCTAGTAGAATGATTGAGATTCGGAAGCAATGGCAATGTTTGGAAGCTGTTGAAAGCAAAAAGTTGTGGTTGTTGTGATACTCGATTGGACTTATCACGATGAATGATCGACGGCTGTAAAAGCTTCACTAATCGAGTTAGGGTTTGACTTTGGCTCTGATACCAAACCCTAACTCAAGAGGAATATTATATCTCAACAACAAGAGTGATTTTCACAAGACTGAAAAAGATCAGTGTTGTTTTTCAAGAATTATACTTAATGATATATTGACTGCAAGATTCAGTACGAGGGAGATAAACAATCTGAAGACAAGGATGTCTACAGTATATAAGACAAAAGATTTGAGTGCAGCGAATTTGAGGATTTCTCGAGATAGGCCTGTTGACACATTAAATCAATCCCAGGAGCAGTACATTGAAAAAGTGTTGTCTAAGTCGGGACGAATGATGCTAAACCCAAGATTACTTGACAAATCTTTTTAAATTGTCAAAGGAACAATCTCCCAAGACAGGTGAGAAGTGTGAGCACATGACATTAGTTCCATATGCTTCTATAGTTGAGAGATCGATGTATGTTATGGTTTGCACGAGACTTGATTAGCACATGTAATGAGAATTGTTAGTAGGTACATGGCAAATACATGGAAAGAACATCAGTAAACTATGACTTATAAGTAGGGGTGTACATAGTCCGAGTTAGGTTGGGTTGGGTTGAGGGATTTTTTTTACCCAACCCAAAAGTTCGGGTTGGTTGGATTGGTAACCCAACCCAACCCAAAACTTTTCACAACCCAACCCAACCCAACCCTCTATTTTCTGGTTGGTTGGGTTGTTAATTTTTTTTAGTTTTATTAATCTACAATTTATAATTATTCAGATATAAAATATATTAAAAATTCACAAATAAACATAAAATCAATATATAATTATTAAAAAAAAAATTGGAGCTAAAATTCTAAAATATTAACATGGTTGAACATTTCGTAAAACTAAAGAAAATTAAATACATATATTTTTTTAGAATTGGTTAGAGTAACAAAAATATAAGGATATATCATGAAATTAAATAAATGATTAGTTTGAAGGAGATGATATAGTACGTGGCAATAACTCAATTTTTAACATCTCATAAGAAATAATTAAACGAGCTAAATCGAATAGCTATTTACATGTATTAATACTCCATTTTTTAGCCAAATCAGCTCCTAACTTGATCCACTTTATTCTAAATTTCTCAAGTATGACCTACAATAAGAGAAATTGAATGCGTATAAGTTGTGATTGAATCAGTAAGCGTAACTATATATCGATTATGCAACTGGTCGAGTAACATACTGATGTCATCTCGATCATCACAATTCAAGCTATGCATGGCTGGCGGCATCCCACCAATCCTATCCGAAAAGGGTGAGGAACTGCCATTTAACGACTTATTAGCTTAGGAATGAGATTGAAATCAGATTAAAAAACGCACAAATAGATGTCGAACGAACGAAAAACTCAACCTCGCGCTTTCACCTATGTGGACGTGCAACACCAACATGCCCACTCGCGCCCGTCCTTCAGCACGGTTTCTGTGGACACCCTTAAGAATAACATGTAACACAGGATGATTTAAGTATTAAACTATGTAACTAAAAGTTTAATAATAAATAAATAAATTAAAAAAAAGAAAAAAAGAAAAAAAGAAAAAAAAAAAGAAAACTGCTCATAAGGGCAAAATTGTAAAACCAAAGGGTGCACTCGTAAAGAAGAATTCTTCGTGCGCAAGAAATCAGTCTTTCTCCTTCAATTAGGGTTCAACTTTGCAGTGACGAGGGTCGCTGTGTAATTCACGGTTCTCTCTAATCCGTCTCTAACAGTGTTCAAACTAGAAGATCGATTGGTTAATTTTCCAAATCCACTTGAAGAAATGGTACTTTTTCGTAGTTGCACTTGTAAATTCATTTCAGATCTGAATCTTTCGGTGTTCTTGTTGCCTTGACTTCCGATTATGATACGCATTCGATGTTGGTTCTTGTGGAATTTCAGGAGGGTGAACGCAATTTAGAGGCAACCATAGAGCAACTGCTCAATGTCGAGAAGCAGATGCGGCTCGCCGGAGATGTGGCCGGCACCAAGAAGGCAGCCACTGACATTTTACAGCTCTGCTTTGATGCGAAAGCATGGAGTACTCTCAATGACCAGATTGTGCTCTTATCCAAACGCCGTGGACAACTCAAACAGGTTTGCGAAAAAAGAAACTGCGTCTTTTTTACTTACCACTTTTGACCATTTCGCGTGAGAGGAGATGTGTTGCCTTTTAGGTCCTGGTGTTGCAGCTTCCATCGTCTTCATCTTTCATTTCCGATTGAACTATTTT